AAATATTTTACGATATCAATTTACCTCCTTTGATTATTTATGATGTAGGACTCCGATAAATAAACACTTCTCATTAAAAGGAACACATGAAAACCAAGATTGGTGATTAAAGCGACTAGAATAGGTCTTGTCGCGACTTTCTCTTCCCTCCCTTCTCTCTCATTGTCTCTCTTTCCTCTCTATAAGTAGGGACGAAACCGAGATATAAATGGAATTAGAATCGAAACAATTTTTTTTGAAAAAGCAAAGGTCCAAAGTGTAATATTTATTACAACTTTCATAAAGGTTTTAGTGTTATTGTTAATTATAGCGTTCGATGGTAACTACACTTACAAAGATGCTCTAATCAATAAGAATCGATCCGTCGTTTAATGGCAAAAAAAAAAAAAAAAAAAACTCTGTCCACCAAGAACCAGTTTGAAGTTCATCCCTCTACCGCAGTAGATCTAATGAAATTGAAGAAGAATTGTTCTTCCCAATTTTCTAGAACCTTCGGTAAAAAATTGAGAAAAAGAATATCTTTTCCGTATAATTTTCGAAAGTAGAATAGTTGTGTAGAATAATAAAGAATTTATAGTACAATGATAATGATTTCTTATAATAAAAAATTATAAGTCGAAAGATTAATAGATTAATTTTACTAAAAGCTTTTACGGGTAAGTTTAAAAAAAAAAAAATTGTGTAAAAGCAAATATGTGATTGGCCTTACATTGCAGGCAACTATTTACTTCTTTTCTCGAGGAAATATATTACAGTCATAATACGAAAGTTACTCAGTGTCTTGCAAGCATGCCTACTGCACTTTCAGTTTCACAAGCCGAGGTCTAAAACATCAACGGCCATCTACTGCTCAAAATTACATTTTTATTGCATCAAAAAATCTTCAAGGCGAAATTCTCTAAAAAAAGAAATTTCTCCTTTAGCTGCTTGGATCAGATTTGATGCCAGTGTTCATTTTCTCATTCGCACAACTTCCACTTACTTTATCAACTACAGTAATGTCCGTGAATTTAAGAGGCTCAACCTCTTCTAGCATATGAACCACCACTCTCATCGAGGGCCTCATTGCTGGGATTTTTGCTGTGCAGTGACTAGCAATTCTCAACATTCTGACTGCATCCTCCTTGAAGACCTCCGAGATGTTTAAGTCCACCGCTTCAAGCTTACCCTCTTGGCTCTTCAGTTTGCTGCAAACCCAATACACTATGTCCTTATTTTCTCCAAATTCTGGTTCAACAGGCTTTTTCCCTGTCACCAATTCCATCAGGACTACACCAAAGCTGTACACATCACTTTTCTCGTTTATCTTGCATGTGTATGCGTACTCTGTGCATCACAGTGCAGAAACAATCAGATCAGCAAAATCGTCTGTGAAGAAAACACAGAGCAAAACAAACAAGGAAAGGCAAAACATGAGAAATTTACCAGGAGCTATGTATCCGTGAGTTCCAGCAATGACATGACTCCAATCGCCTCCACCATCAGCCTGCACAATCTTTGCAAGTCCAAAATCTGCAATCCTAGGCTTCCACTCCTCATCCAGCAGAATATTACTCGACTTCACATCCCTGTGAATCACTGGTTTATCAAACCCATGATGCAAGTACTCTAATCCCCTTGCAGCCCCAGCAGCGATTGAATACCTCAACTCCCACCCCATCTTAGTCTTGTGGCTAGAGTGTAGCCGATCCCACAAGCTTCCATTAGGTAGATATTCATAGACCAGCAGATTGCTATCATCACTTGTGATGCTACAGTATAGCTTCACCACATTCACATGCCTCACATTACTCAACGTGGCGACCTCAGCATCATATTCTGGCGACCGCGAATTCCTTTTTGTCAGCATGGCTGAGCTGCTTCGGAAACTTCTACGGTCAATGGAATTTGCTGTCCAGATATGTTTCACAGCCAGTTCATTGCCATTATCAAGCACAACTTTGTATACGTTTCCCGATCCACCTTTGCCAATCAAATTCTCGGATTTTACGGCATCAATGACTTCTCTTTCACTGAAACTTAGCACCCTAAAAGATTTCATATTCCAAGAACTCTGCTTCAATGGAAGATCAAGATTGTTTTGCCTCAATTTCAAGAACAAGAGACAACCAGCAAAGATGACCAAAACTAGCAATCCAGCAACAAAACAAGATACAAGTACTGGTAGTTGATTAGATGTCCTAGCATTGGGTGAACATGGTTGGAGATTCTTCAGATTTTGGCTACATAAACCTGGATTCCCATCAAAACCTTCACGAAAGGCCCCTAGAGATAAAGAGTCGGGTATGGGACCAATCAACTGGTTATTTGATAGGTCAAGATTGCTTAGTTTTAGACGAGACAAAGAAACTGGAATTTGACCAGAAAGTTTGTTGCTGGACAAATTCAAGGAGTTTAAAGTAGGCAGAGAGCCAAGACTCTCTGGGATATCCCCAGAAAAAGAATTGCCGGAGAGGTTTATATCAGTGAGAGAGACGCATGAACCTAATGAGTTTGGTATGGCACCAGAGAACCTGTTTCCAGTCAAATAAAGACTGTTTAGTTTCTTCAATTCACCAATTGTTGAAGGGATTTCACCAGAAAATCTGTTGGAATTCAAGTGGACTGACACTAATGAAGAAGTCTGAGAAATGGCAGAAGGTAATGTACCAGAAAATTGATTGTTAGCCAAATCTAATAGGGCAAGAGACTTTGCATTACCAATATCAGGTGTCACGAGACCTTCAAATTGGTTCACACTGAAATCAATAATGACAAGGTTTGGCAAACCCCATATTCCAGCAGGAATAGTACCTGAAAGAGAATTCTTGTTTACACGAAAGCGCTCCAGAGACTTACAATTCGCATAGCTTTCTGGGACTTGGCCTGTGAAATTGTTTTGCAGAATCAGAAGATCAGTCATTTTGCCATTCTTGCACATGTCTGGCGGAATAGGACCTGTCAAGGAATTCTCTGAAACATCAATGTAAGCAAAATCTGCCCACGAGCCTAGTTTTTGAGGAAGTGGACCGGTGAGCTTGTTCTTATAAAAAGAAAACTCTTCAAGGTACTTGAGTTCACCAAACTCCTCAGGGATCTCACCAGTGAATTGGTTTTCCATGAGTTGCAAAGAAGCAAGTAGTTTCAAAGGTTTCAACTCCACGAGCTCACCTTCAAGCCTATTATGTGAAGCATCAAAATTCACTAGACTTGTAAGATTTCCAAATCCCACAGGGAGTTTTCCTGTCAAGGAATTATTGTAAAGCTCAAGTTGCCAAAGCCTGCTGACTTTTCCAATTCCTGCTGGGATTTCTCCAAACAACTGATTATCCGAGAGCTCAAAATTTTCAAGCAGGGTAAGATTTGATATGCCATCTGGTAACTGGCCTTTGATGCTGCAGTTTGACAGATAAAGCCAATATAACTTGTCAAGCTTTAAAAGCTCAACAGGAAATGAGCTTGTTTCATCAAATGGATTGTCACCGAGGCTTAAAAAAGCGAGATTGGAAAGTTTTTCCAATGAATGCCACGGAAAGGGCCCCGAAAATCCACTGCTGTTTAAACTCAAGACTTTCAGTTCTTGTAAACTAGACAAGTCAGGCACCATTCCAGCAAACGAATTGTTACCCAAATCCAAAACCTGCAAGCTTGTACAATGTTTCAAGTCCTCAGTGATGCTACCATGCAAAAAATTTGAACCCATTGAAATTTTCTCTAGCGATGGAAGTCCACAAATTGCACCAAAAGGAAGAGCACCCTCTAATTGTTGTTGAGGAAGATTGAGTTCTGTGACAAGTCCTTTCTCGTTACAAACAACTCCAGTGAAATTGCACACAGAATTTTCCTGTGTCCATGTTGTGAACACATTCGTTTTTGAATGTTGAACTGCAGACTTGAACTTTAAAAGTATTTGAAACTGATCATCCGATTCTGACGGAGAAATTAGCATGACCAATGCTAGACATAAAAATAGCAAAGAAAACCACTGCCGGAAATATAGAACCGACATTCCGGCCGAAGAGGTCTAGAATTGGGGGGGTTTTAGGAGAGACTAACGTGGTAAGTCGATGGAGGAAGAGAAGTAAGGAAATGCAAGGCAGAGTATACTGTAGAATCACCTAATTTAGCACGAGGTGGGCTTGAATTTTGAGGTCTGTCCACATGCGAGACATAAACACAGTTAATTTAATTGAAAAGAGATAATATTCCACGTAACAGATCCAATTGGGAAGAGGTGGTCACTATAAAATTACAATTTAGGTAGTTACGGATAAAGCAAATTGGCAAATCTTCCTTGCTTTTTAGATATGGCTTCTTGTGGAGAAGCGGAGCACGAGATGGGACCTTATGGCCGCCGACGTTGACTAATTTATGCATGGGCACTATGTATTTGCCACTTGGAAAATTTTGGCATTAAATGACAACTCCTCCTCCTTTTTGTTTTTGTCCAAATTTTGGTTGTTGTGGACTTGTGACATCATGATCCAATGTGTTGTTCCTGCCTTTTCTTTTTGTCTACACCATATTTAAGAACACACAACTCTATCAAGCACCGACTTGGAGTCCTGATAAGAAAGAAGAAACGATTAGAACTTAGAGGATTGAAGGGAAAATCTCACATAAGCCCCCCAAATATAATAGGGATTCTTGATGGAGTTTTTTTTATTTTTTTCCTCGACTGGATCCTCGAAAGTTCAAAAGAACTTTCAATAGTCTCTCTATTTATATTAATAGATAAATTCCGCCCAGAACTTATGTTTATGTGTGAAAACGATGTTGTTTTGAGGGAGTTCAGTATTTTTTTTTTCCTTTGTTTCTTTTTCTTCTTTTCTGTTAACAAACTGGGGAAATGTTGGACGGAAGACTCAAATGAAATTTTTGAAAACTTTGGAGACCTAATTGAACAAGGAATTCTTTAGTAGTTGAATTGGGATTTGGGTTTCAACTTGGGGACTAATTGGCGGGTCGTGTTTAAACGCAGAGCTTTTCCAACTTTTAATTAGAAAAGCAACGACAAAATTATGGTTCTCAATTCTGATACGGATAACTTATCTCTTATTTTGATACTAATAAAAATAAATATATTTAGAGCTCGTCTGATGTGTTTTTTACGTGTTTGATTAAATGTTCTTAAATTTAAAATCTATCAAATTGATATTTTTTTTTCAAATTTGTTTTTTAATGTGCATTTGCTAATACTATTCAAATTTGAAAGTGCTTTTCCAAAATGCTTTCCTTAAAAAAAAAAAAAACATAAATTTAATTTTTTTTCTAACAAAAAATTATTTTAAAATGCATAAAAAATGCGATATAAAAAATTGGCATTGTCAAATGGTATTTACATTGGCAGGTGAAAAAAAGCTCAAAAAAATTATAAAGGTGCTAGCTTCTTCTGCACACCGGTTTTAGCCTTTTAGGTGGAAAAAAATGGTAGGAATGCAAATGGAGCTTGGTTACCAAAGGTCACGGCAATGACAAAGGGAGTGAAAACAAAGTAGTGACGATTGGCGATACAAAGCTGCCTATACTTCATCACACGAAGAGTCAAAGGGTCCAGACGGAGAGCGAGAGAGAAGTTCCTAATAATATCATCGCACCTGCCAGGAAAGTTGTGCGTAGGGACTATATAAAGTGGCTGTTTATTCCAAGCTAAAACCTTTTCCTCCTTTTTTTTTTCTGTCTTTTTTCTTTTTCCCCTTTTGCTTCAACTAGTCTTCCTAATTAACAAAATTCATGTATCATTGTTTGAAGAATCTTAATAATTACCATAACTTTTTCTTTTTCTTTTTCTTTTTGTATCCGTAGAATCTTAATTCTAGCAGACTACCACACCAGTATATTTAATATTGGATAAATTTCAATTTTTGATTTCTTTTAATTACATTTTATAGTTTTCATTTTAGTTCCAATAACCTCCCACATCGATACTTTTCTTCCAATTTTTTTCTCCATCCATTTACATAAAGTGTATGAATTTTAATTTCATTTCTGAAATTTATGAGATATCTCGATATCATCTAAGAAGTGAAAAAAAAATCTAAATAAAATTATCAAAAACAAAAACAAAAAAGCAATAAAAATATTTTTTATTAAAATAAATATGATAAAAGTTGAAAGGGTTAGTTTTTCAGAAAATCCTCAAATTCTGCTAATTTTAATTCGCACTTAGTTATAATTAAATGAAAATCAAGAATTAATTTAACCTTTTTTTTCTGACAAAATCTTCACTATATTTGATCCCTCTTATGAGCTATTATATTATTTTTTCTAATAATATCATCAAATAATACATTTGATATATACAAATTTTAATCATGCTTTATGTAGTCAAAACTGTCACATACTCCAATCATAAGAGATTTCATTTATTGATTCATTTTAGGACTTTTGTTTCAAATTTTAATTGAAATCTGGATTAAAATATATATATATATATATATATATATATATATATATATATATATATGCTAATGAAAGAGTATATAAAAAGCAATGACAATGGTGCTTGATGAATTTTTTTAATTAGTTTTTAGTTTAACTTTATTCTTATATTATTAAATAATTGTTAGATTGTTGATGAAAAAAATATACATCACACTTATTTTATTAAAAAATATATATTTTTAATGATTTTTTAAAGTTTAATTTTTTCAGTCTGGATTTTATTGAAATAAATCATAAATTTTAGAGATGAAATTAAAATTTACGTATAATAGAACAAAAATAAAAGATAAAGAACCGAATAGAAAGAAATCATCGGTTTTAAGTACAAGTGAGAAAACACACAAATTTCAAAAGGTAGATTAAAAATTTCTTTTAATATTATTATTCTCTCGTAGTAATATTCGATTAGTAATTAACCTTTTTGTTTTTTCTCCTTGAAGCATTTAGAAAGTCATCGTGTGCCTCCATAGACAACAAGAAAGAAGAAGTAACGAGAACCAATTATCACATCGAAGGAAAGGCCAAATAACAAAGTTTGGCAACGAAAAGACACCACAGCAACTGTGGTCGGTGCTGCTTTATTTGAATAAGCGTTCATGGTCGCTGAAACAAGTAAATAAGACAGCATATCATGTCTCCTCTCTTGTTTCTTGTTTTTGCATATATTTTCCATAATTCTTAGAAAAAAGAATATCTATATGAATAATTAATAAAATTATTAAAATAAATTATAAATTTACTCTTAGAAAAAAAACAAACATTACAAAAGACAAATTTATGATCTGAAGTTTAATTACAATAAAATTCATTATAAATCTAAATGATCTTCACAGATACTACAACGAATAAAATCATATATAGTAGGTAGCATATATGGTGAGTAAATTATAAAGTGGTCCCTTTTGTTTTGAAAATTAATTAATTAATTATTTGAGTTTAAAAATTAATTATTTAATCCTTTTAACAAGTGTTGATTGTGACTAAGTTAATATTTTAATATTCTATAAAAAAAATTTCTCATCAATTTTTTCATTTTTTACTTATTGTTATTCATTTTTTTTATTCTTAAAATAAAAAATCAAAATAAAAACTAAATAATTAGTTTTTAAAACTAGGTGTACTAATTAATTCATTTATTAAAACATGAGAGATTAATTTATAATTTACTCATTATATAGTAGGTAGACGAATTAGTTTTAGCCCCTCTTTGCAAATATTTTTTAGTGAAAGAACGGCAGAGAGATGATTATAAATATAGTAGCAATGAGACAACCAACACCAAACGAATCGTTTTTCGATCTTGTGAATCGATAAATTTTAGATTTGAGAAAGACCATAAAAAATATTTTAAAAACATACCCATCTTTTTCCTTTTGCAGCCAAAATAAGAATTTAATAAAGCCATCTTAACCTTTTCGAACGAAGTAATGAAGCATCCATGCACCACCTACCAAGTTGAAGCAACTTTAGTGCAATCATTGACAATTGAGTTTATATATTAAGCCATCTGTCTCTTGTAATCTTCACACTTCAAAGCAGTTGGTGATGATTGATACTAAAAAAGTACTCATTGACGAATAATTGTTTGATTGATGATATTTAATTACCTACAGTATAATTAGTTAAGTTATTAGATATGGTGTATCTATTCCACGACAAGATTGCAAATCCTAGAACTGTGATTTCTTTCGTTTCAATCTTGTTGTCACAGGAATTTTGAAGTCTATCCGACAGTGAAATTTTGTAAAAGGGTTCACTGCGGGCTAATGGAGGAAATGTCAAGAAGTACTGCCTCGAAGTCAAAGACTGAAGCCTACCTTTGGATTAACTCTGGACCTTTCAAATCATTCAATGAACTTGACAAAAGCAATGTGCCCATAGTCAAAGGTGTCAAACCGAACCCTATCTTCCTGGCCCAGGCCCACCCACCTTGCTAGGATAGTGGGAGTGGGACCAACCTAAAAACGTAAGTGCAGTAGCCGCCCAAACTATGGTAGGCCTAGCTTGTCAGGCTATTAGCCTTGACTGTTTGGACTGGCGTAGCCCAATTGAGCAAGTCGAGCGAGATAGGGCTTGGGTTTGAGGGCTTATAAATGGGCTGCGAATCCAGGCAGTATGAAAGCGATGATTTTAATCCTCCAGGGTGAGTAAAAAAAACAAATTGATGGAATTATTACTACGATTCTGTAATCTAGTTATTATTTTTTTTTTTAGAGAAAAAAACGACGGTTAGAAAATTGAATTGTTTTTTATTGTGAAATTCATAATATTATAGGTCAAATTTGGAGATACCATCAAATATGTGATCGCAAAGCGAATAGGTACGCAAATTATTTCGCAAATAAAGGGCCTTTTCTTGAAATTTATTTTGGCTCGCCACTCCAAATAATATTCTTTTTGCTACATTTATGATTCTATTGCACCCAAAAAAAGAAAAAGGAAAAAAATAATTTTGAGTTTGATTTATTTTTTAATTATTGCCTCTCTCTCTCTCTCTAGGACTGGGAGTTTACTTGAACCCTAGGCTACCAAACCAAGAACTAAAAAAGCTCACGAATTCAATTGAATTTTGCTAAGTAGATTAAGAAAAAGAAAAAGATAAGGCGAATCCTTAGATTCTACTAAGGGGATGGAATCATCTCATCTATTTAATAAAATAACCTTTTCAATAATTCAAAAAAGAGAAAAAAAAAGAAACGAGAAACATCAAAAGGATTTATGCTTTATATGACATATTTGCTTTACACATATTTTATTTGTCAGGTAAATTATAAATTAGTCATTCTAATTGTATAAAAAAAATTAATTAACTTTTTATTTTAAAAATTAATTATTTAATCTCATGATGAATGTACATATTGATTAATTTAATATTATTTTATTTTAAAAAATATTTTTTCATTAATATTTTTCTAATATCTATTTTTTCTATTTTTTAAAATAAAAATGATTAAATAATTAAATTTTTATAATAGAACAATTAATTAATTAATTTTTCTAACTGAAAATGACTAATTTATAATTTACTCCATTTCCACCTTCGATACGATGGTAAAAATAAATGTATGTATACAACCAATTATAATATTGATGATTGTGCTGTCGTTCGTCTCAACGTTCAAGCACGATCCCTTCACATTTTGTCCAGTATTACTAGGTCGCTAGAATCATCATCTTACATGCATCTGAGGTTATTGCTCAATCAAGAGAGACCAAACAGAAGTGTGAGAGAAAAAAAAAAAAACACAGTAACATAATTTGTGGAGAAAAGTATTATAGCCACAGACAATTTGAGAAATTCAGATGGGATAAGGGTCCAAAAACTAGTTTCCACAAAAATAATAGCATTTAAAACAAATATGTCAACATCGTGCTTCGCACTCCCCAAAAATTATATTTGCCCATTATCTCCGAAAATATATTTTCTTGGAGTTGTAAATCCATCCATTATTTATTTCAGGTAGCTTGCGTGTACTGGAGCACCAATCCCATTTCCTCACCTATCAGTCTTTCATAACACATAGCTATGGAATCAATGGCTAGCCAAAGGATTGCAAGGATATCAGCTCATCTCCGACCTCCAAACTCCCAGGTCTTTCTTTTTGTTTTATCTTTTGACTTGTTTTACAGTTAATATACTTATCGTATGTGCATATCCTTCTATGTAGTTTAAAAGAAAGTTTATTTTTTTGTTAAAAAAGATTTGTGGGTTGTGTTTCAATAGATGGAGGAAAGGTGTGGTTTGAAGAGAGCTGATTGCAGAGCAAAAGGAGGGGCACCTGGGTTTAAAGTGGCTATCTTGGGTGCTGCTGGAGGGATTGGCCAACCTCTTGCAATGCTAATGAAGATGAATCCTTTGGTCTCAGTTCTTCACCTCTACGATGTTGTGAATGCTCCTGGGGTCACTGCTGATATTAGTCACATGGACACTGGTGCTGTGGTAAATTATCAACCCATCACTTGTAATGTTTTTAATTTTACATGTTCCATAGATGTAGTTGTGTCTACTTTTGATGAAAGGTTTTCCTTGTATTTTGGAATATTGTAAGGTTTATGTTTTGAAATTGAGATTGATTTCTTGATAGTTTAGGGAGTGAAGTGGAATTCTTGGAGCAAATTGTGAACTTAGTTGTTGTTTTTGTAATTGAGATTTTATTTTATTTTTAATGTTTTCCAAAGGTTCTGGATCTTTAATCCAAGTAATTGAAGTTTTATTCATGAATTCAGAACCTGGCTACATAGCATTTCATAATAACTGTTTATACTTTGGTTTGCTAGGTTCGGGGTTTCCTAGGGCAACCACAGCTTGAGAGTGCTCTTACAGGGATGGACCTTGTGATCATACCTGCTGGTGTGCCAAGGAAGCCTGGAATGACTAGAGATGATCTATTCAAGATCAATGCTGGGATCGTCAGAACTCTTTGTGAAGGAGTTGCAAAGTGCTGCCCTAATGCAATTGTCAACTTGATCAGCAATCCAGTTAATTCTACAGTTCCAATTGCAGCTGAGGTTTTCAAGAAAGCTGGAACTTATGATCCAAAGCGACTTCTAGGAGTTACAATGCTTGATGTTGTGAGAGCAAACACTTTCGTGGTATGTAATCAGAAAATTGGTTAACTAATAATTTTCTGCCTGTATAAATTGCTTATGCTCTGAGGTTAAAGGTAGCTAGAATCAAATAGAACCAAATGGAGCTGTTACTGGAGAACCAAATGGAGCTTTTGTGCCTTTTATTTTTGACATATACGAGCTTTCTACATTCTGTTCCCTCATTTCTTTGCAGGCAGAAGTTCTGGGACTTGATCCTAGGGAAGTTGATGTTCCAGTTGTTGGAGGCCATGCTGGAGTTACAATTTTGCCTCTTCTGTCAAAGGTAGTGTAGATTATTTTGAGAAAATGTTAAACATTAATTCAGATGTTTAAATCAGCTATCAAAAAATTTGGCACATTATGAAGTGAACGCTTTTAATGCAATGACTTGATGCACTATTTGCAGGTCAAGCCCCCTTCCTCCTTCACCCCTGAAGAAACTGAATACCTGACCAAAAGAATTCAAGATGGTGGAACGGAAGTAGTTCAGGTAATATTGGTTCTTCTTTTCTGTTTTTTGGAGCATTCTGAAGTTGGATTTCAAAACTAGATGTTATTAGATCCTTCCAAGTGTTTTGTTGAGTGTCATCTGCTTGGACAGAGAGAGAGAGAGAGAGAGAGAACCAACCAATGTTTAACATACATTAGGTTACCACTTCTCTGGTAATTTTTCAGTGTCTGATATAGATTAGCTTGTCATATAACAGCTTATTATTATAGATTGAACCTAAAATTCAAGGAGGGACATGGACAAGGATGGTGGTGTCTTTCATTGAACTGGCTAGAATCGATATTTTTATTGAAGAAAAGCTTTGTTAATTTCATCTACTGCATCTTTTTGCTGACCATAAAGTCCAAAGCTCCCAGACTTTGCCATTTAAATCTCCTTCATTCAACTGTTAAACATTTTAAAGTACAATCCTAGATGGTGCCCAACCTCACGGTTGCACCTTATAGGAACTGTTTGTGCTATAAATTTAGTTCAGAAAATCATTTTCACCTGTTGTCGTAGAATTTTGATTTCTTATATAGCATTGCACATTTTTGTTATTAAATCCTGATTGCGAGCTTGATGGAAAGTGCCACACCGTTGACATGGGTATTACCTTTTTGAGTTGTATTTTCCTCATTCTTAATTCAATTGTTCTTAAAGTTCATGGTTCCCAACATATGAGTTCCTCAAACTGCTTGTACTGGTTGCCGCTTCCTTTCCATTTGGGTTTAGTGAATTGGTTGAACTACAATTGAACAATGTTTGTGTAATTGGCAGGCAAAAGCTGGGGCCGGCTCTGCAACATTGTCAATGGTTAGCCAATCTATTTCCTTCTTTTGTTCATTCTGCAACTTCAATTGCAAAAATGGATTATAAAACTTCAAACGTAGTGGACATATTGGACCAAAATGAGGACAAGGGTTAATGTAATTGTGCAGGCATATGCAGCTGTTAAATTTGCAGATGCCTGCCTTCGTGGCTTGAGGGGAGATGCTGGTGTTGTGGAATGTGCATTTGTAGCTTCTGAGGTATTCTTTTGAAATCCTTCCTTTTTTCAAAGTCTCCAAGCTTTCTTTTTTAACCTTTTAATAATCAAGCATATTGTTTCCAATACAGGTGACAGAACTCCCATTCTTTGCAACCAAGGTACGACTTGGCCGTAGAGGAGCTGAGGAAGTCTATCAACTTGGTCCCCTAAATGAATATGAGAGGTAAACATTTAACCACTCGACTGGCTTTCCTTTGTTGCTAAAAAGAAAGAAACCAAAATATTTACCTTGCACCTATATTTAACAGGGTGGGGTTGGAAAAGGCGAAAAAAGAGTTGGCAGAAAGCATTCAGAAGGGGATTTCCTTCATCAGGAAATAGTTTCAATCCAAGTAAAGTAAATTATGTAAAGTTAATGAGTAGTTTCTTGTATTCGGACCTGTTTGAAATCAACCTTGCTGATAGATGATTTCAGCCAATTCGAAACCCACCCAGAGATTTGTCTATCTTGATCTTTTATGGCATGAGCGGATGTAATATCACAGGAGAATGTATTTGTAGCCTATCTTGATCTTTTATGGAATGAGCTGAGGTAAATATAACAGGAGAATATACTCGTAGTAGATATGCCGACAAGTTTGATTTAAATATTTTTGAATTCCCATAATCGATATTTTACCATTGAAACACATCATTTTCCCCATCCAGAAACTAAGTCAACTAACCAATGTAATGCGCAGAATAATATACCTTATCACTGGCTTGCTCGTGGAATTGAGCTGAACATATAGCCTTGCTTCGCCATGACATAGAACCTTCATCTTCATTCCACGCATGTGGAATATTGGCTAAGATTAGTGCCTCCCTCCAATGGATGCCATCTTGACAATGCCTTCAGTTCACCATAATGGATTTTGCTAGCTAAAGCATGGTCAACCTGTTCTTTGTTGTGCTGATGTATGACTAGCACTTTCAATTGATTTTACAACCATTATTTCCAGGAGGTATTATTGGAAATAACCATAAAGAAAAATTACGTGCAACTTGCAGAACCATAGCTCCTGAAAGAGTTCCAGGGGCGTGGCTCATGCTACCATGAAAAGGTTGACAACCACAAATGATTCATAAGAAACACCACAAGATTTAAGGCTAATTTTATCACTCAGAGAACAAACAATAAGGAGAACAAAAAATAAGGACCTTCAGATCTTCTTTGTTCAAATGTTTTTTACAGTGTACATCTCTACTATCTCATTATGTAAATGCATAACTGGAAGAGGGAAAAAAGAATTTACAGTTTGTCCAGCAGTTCAGCCAAAATTAAGTGCCCGCCAGAGGCTTACAAGGTGAAAGGATCGGAAGGGGGATGAACAACAGGAGTTCTGGACATGCTTACATTGCCTGTAAGCACATGAGGAGCCACTGTATCCTCTACAATCACAGGATTAACCTGCACCACTCTCTCTGGTACAACCTTCTGGCCATCAACCTTAGCCAATACCTCGAAATGCATCCTCACAATCTCGGGCTTAGTCCTCCACTCGGGAACAGCCTCCAAATCAAGCCCATCTCCTTCTTTCAACTTCTTCTCAACACCAAACCCAATCTTAACAAATGTCTGAGCTGACACGTCTGCCTTCAACAACTTGAAGGAACCTTTCTTATTAGCCTTGGGACCCAACACAGAAGCAAGTAGTTTCTCAAAACCAACCAAATTCGGGTTTGAGCCATTCACAGAAGCAAATGGCCACATTGTAGTGAAATGTTGAGGAGTTAGGACAGTAGTAGCTTGTTCCAAATCAACAGTGGGGATGGCATCAACAGGTTGAGATTTAGCAGGCGAGGATAGCTCCACAAGTCCAGGAGCAAGGCGCTTCAGCTTGAGCCTGTTGTTGGAAGATGTTGACGATGAGGAAGGAGATGTAAGCGAGGTAGGCCCAACAATCCGCAGTGAGAGAAGTGGAGCCCCTTCGGAGAGGGTAGCTTGACGTAGCTGTTCAGCTAATGCTAGAAGACCAGAAGCAAATCCAGATCGAGTTCGATTTAGAGGCAATGGAAGATCAATCGGGTGACGCAGACTAACTGATCTTGCACCCTTCACCGTAACCACAGCACCATCTGCTAAAATTACTTTCTTCAAAACACCAGCATCCACATCATGCTGCAGATAAAATAAATATAATCTCTTCAGATTCTGAACAAAAAATTTTAAAAATTTCCCACGGTAAACTAGGGGTGAAAATATCGGACAACACATGGTAAAATTCCCTGAAACCAAAAACCTGCCAAACCCGAAACCCGCCCAATATATAACTCCCTAAAATAATTTACAGAACTAACAGATTCTACTATTGAAACCCGTCGAAAATAACCGGAATGAACTAGAATAAATAGAATAAAATCGAAATCAATCGCATACCGGCAATGAAATGCGCATATCTTTGGCATCCTGAATCCATATCTCCATGGGCCCAGCAAGATGGAACGGAGCTAAAACAGGCAAAACATTGCCATCCTTTTTCTGCTCCACCAACCTGTTTTCATCACCGGGTTGAATCGGGTCTTCAACTCTAAAAATAGGCAAATCAACAAACTCCCACCGGTTCACATCCTCCAATAACTTGAACGGAACCACCTTATTATCAACTTCCACATCAAATTCATATGCCACTGAATGGCCCACAAGTGCATCTCTCAAATCAAAACCAGAAATCTTGAAATCATCCGCTTGAAATCCTAAGCCCTTCACTACCGCTTCCTTCAAATCCTACACACCAAAAACGAAAATTTTTTTTTAAAAAAAAAAAAAGAAGAAGAAGAAGAAGCAGAAACTGCCATAATAACAAGAGATTAAAGTGCGGTTAGAGAAATTTGCAGATTCTGAAGTTACTTACGGAGATTGCTTTCGGATGGGGAGGGGAATTAATGTCCGGTGTGGGTATCAGAGCTGCGGTTAAGGACAGATTTGTAAATATCAGGGAAATTAGCGTTAGGTACCGGTGTGATGATTTGGTTGCCATTGATATCGGAACCGGAGAGGATCAATCGGAGAGGGAAATCCAATAGGCTTGGGCACTGGATTTTGGAGAAAGCAATTGTTTTGAATACAATATTTTAATTGTTGAGGATTATAAAAGGAAGAAGGTTCTAGATTAGTGGATGAGGATTTACGGACAGTGACGTGGAAGGAATGGACCAATGAGAAGAGAGAAAATGATGTGGAGGTGAAAGATGATTGGCTGTGATTTGTTGGTGTTCAGAGAAAGAGCAAGTTCCGCATTGTCGTGGAAGAAACGTAGAAGGGAGAAGGGTGGTGGGGTCTGAAGATATTTCTGGCAGGTTTTGCGCTGAATGAAGTGTCGGTTGAAATTTCAGAAGGGACTTGTCGTTTGACAAAGTGGAAGAGGTGTAAAACTTTATGAATGGCGTCGCCCGGACTCGAACCGGAGACCTTCAGTGTGTTAGACTGACGTGATAACCAACTACACCACGACACCACACAAGGGGGGTTTCTAATTATTTTTATTTGTTTGTTAGAGCACTTCGTGTGAATAAGAATCATAACTTCCCCTGCCTTGCCAGTAACTCTATATTTAATACGAAACAATATGACCGGTAATGCATGGAGTTTTAGAAGAGATTTCATGTGAAAATCGAAGGAGCAAAGGATCACTTGATATGATGTTGAAAAGGGTGGAATTTGTGAGGAAAGAATTGAAATGGTTTCATGAAAAAAATTATCAATTTTCTATTACAATTTGATAATTTAAATTTTTTATTATCGATTTACATAATTTGAATTTTAAAAAATCGGTTTTTAGATAAATTTTATACAAATTCATTAATTATAATGGTCAACTCAATTGACCATTAATTTTTTTCAACTGTTATTTTTTTGTTGATAATTTAAAAAAAAAACCGTTAAAATGTTTTCCTTCCATTTTTTAAGAAAGATTTTTTTTTTCATCTGTTTACCCATGAATAAAAAAAAAAGTTCGTTAAATTTATCACTAAACCTTTTTTTGGTTCTTCCTGAAAAAGAACTTCGTTTTTTAAGCCTATCTTTAAAACACTAAAAATAAAATTAATAGTTTGATTGACTATGAAAAATCAAAATAATTAATATGTGAAAATTTTAAATAGAAAGAATCTCTTTTGAAAAATAGAGAAAAATCATTTTTAATATTTTAAAAAAATTAACAACGAAAAAAATAATAGAAAAAAATTAATAATCAACTGGATTGATCGTTACAATTAACGAATTTAGATAAGATTTACTTAAAATCGATATTTTGATATTCAAAGTACACAAATTAATAATAAAGATCTAACATTCTCAAATTATAATAGAACATAAATAATTTTTGTCATTAAACCGAATTGAAATGAGATGAAAGTTTGGATGAATGTATAGAATCAACTCTTTAGAAACAAAGCGGAAAATGGTTACAATGTTTTCCTTCTAGTCCACCAATTTGGTTTCTTCGGAATAGAGAGAACAAGAGTCGGGCGGGTGATTTCAAATAAACAATTGGATTCTTAATTTTGACTTATTTACGCATTTGAAGATTAGCTTTCTAATCCAAGAGACATGTAAATTATTTAACTATTTAAGTTATGTATCATAAAAAATAATAATAATAATAAATTACAATAATAAATAAGAAAATTGGGCTTCAGTTTATGGGATGGAGAAAGCATGAATTATGGTGATAAAAAAGCAGTATAATGGGCATAATAATCGTCTAAACAAGCACAACTTATTCTTCTTTTGTTCTTGGGAGAAACTAAACTCTAAACAAAAAACATTCTGATACAAAACGATGGAAAAACAACTTCACAAACATTTTCATGAAAAAAGTTACTACAACCTATTAGAGCATGCTCTAAATACAAAATACTTATAGGAAGAGAGTAAGTCAAGGTTTTTGAAGAAACTTGTAAATAGTGAAGATCAACTAATGATAAAGCCTACAATAACCTTTAGAAGATCGAATTAACTTGACTTTAACCAAAAAATCTGATTCCAAAATAATATGTGGGTACCTCGGATTTTAAATCATCTCTAAACCAACTACAATGCCTCAAACGTCTGTTCATAGAACATTACAACTTCCTATCTAGTAGGAGAAACAACGAGCACAAGTTCTTAAAAAAGCAAATTTCTTTCTGTTTTCATTATCCCCATTCTGCAATCAAGGGACAGGTAATTTAATCGCTCCTCTGCAATGCATATCTTCTCTCGTGATTTTTGTTTGGTACTTTATTTTTATTTTTTGCACGACAGGAAACTCTTAATTGTCATCAATCATTGAAATCAGATACAACTATTATTTAAAGCTCTCCATTAGACAGCTACACACTCATCATGATAGCATAAT